ATGTCCCTGGGGCTATTTTTTCTTAAGTATCTTTTTTTATTTTCCCAGAAGAGAGCCCTATGCATTGTGTTTTGAGGACATACTGTCTTGGCCCTCTCTGTGTTGTATAAACCGCCCACGTGTCAAGAACTGCATGCATGTAAACTACAGAAGCAAACACCTGCACACCTGCAAGTGTTTTGCTGAGGGGCTCCAGCCACTTCTGTTTGCCATCCCTGGATGATAGAAAGGGGAAACCTTTCCTTCTCAGCTCTCAGTGACTCTGTTCTGGGATGCCTGTTTCTCCTGGGGGCGCAACCCAATCGGCTGCTTGTAATTTGGGGTGTTGTTTCTCCTTTCCCTCTTCCTCACGCTCCTTCCCGCCTCCTCCCTCCCCGAATGGCCTCAGGGTTTTCTTTCTAGAATTTCTGATGTGCTACTGTGCGGATGGACATGTCGCCACTGCTGTCAGAGGTGCTATGAGTCCAGCTGCTGCCAGTCCAGCGAGGATGAAGTAGAGATCTTGGGCCCTTTCCCTGCCCAGACTCCTCCATGGCTGTGAGTAGCTGCTTGGAAATTAATCTCTAAGCTGTCCTCTCTTGATTCAGGGGTGGGAGGCTGAGACTCCATGGGTGTTACGACCACTGAAAGAGCTTGTCTGTACCTCCTTGCTTTGTTGGTCAGCTGGTGGTGAGGCACCCGCTCAGCCCGTCTGTCTTGTTTCTGAGATGTCAGCCAAGTGACACTGATCTTGGGGACACTTTAAGTCATGCTAAGTATCCAAGTGGAAGATCTATGCATAGTCTTCAGTGTCTGAATATCCCTGTCCCAGGCAGTGTGTCAGGCTGTCCTAAACACCCAGCCCCCAGCTTGCACCAAGTAGATGCTCAGTAAATCTTTGCTGCAAGTACTTTTTTGTTGGTTTGAAGGAGGCCTGTAGAGAGGCCTGTAGAGCCCAAGCCAAGGGAGGCAGGTCCAGCTCCATCCTGCTCTCCAGTGCTGGGGTTGTTCTCCCTGGCTTCTTTCATTTTATTTCTAATTTGCTTCCCTCCTGCGCCCGCATACAATGTCTCCATCTGCCAGTCGCTCAGATATTTTGGGAATGCAGTTTTAAAGTATCTCAGCCATGTGTCTGATCTGCCTCTCTGTGGCAGGGAGAGGGATGTGGCCAGAGACTGAGGAAGAGCTGGGAAACCAGGGTTGGGAGGGACCTGGAAATAATCAACAGCAGCTGCTAGAGACTCAGGGAGGGAGGCCTGGAGAGGAGACTGGTGGAGACCAGTGCCAGGCACAAACAGAGCCCTGAGATGGGTACCTGGTGCTATATCAGCTAAATCTTGGGCAGATTCCCAAAGCCCCCGAACATCAACTTTCCTTCCAGGTTGGAGATCACGGCATGTCCTTATTTTTTCTTCTTAGAAAGTCTTAGCTAGTCTTAGCTGTTTCCAGAGTGAAGTTGGTTCCGTGTCAGCCTATATGAGTTCAAATCCAGTTTCTACTACAGCTTTCTAGCTCTGTGACCCTGAGAAAGTTGTTTGACCTCTCTGAGCCTTGATTTACCATCTTTAAAAGGGGATGGTAAAAAAAATAAGTATTTATCATATAGGGTTATTACAGGGATTCATTTACTTGTATTTGGAAAAGTACCCAGAAGTGCTTGACACCTTGTTGGTGATCAGAAATGGGACTTTTATTTTGAGACAGGGTCTCAAGTGGCCCAGGCTGGCCTTGAACTTGCTATGTAGCCAGGGATGACCTTGAACATCTGATCCTCCAGCCTCTACCTCCTGAGTGCAGAGATTACAGGCATGTGCCACCTCACCCAGGTTTATTGGGTTCTGGAGATTGAACCCAGGGTTTTGTGCCGGCTAAGCTAGCATTCTACCAGCTTGAGCCACATTCCCAGTCCAAACCTTATTTTTGTATTGATTTTGTTATCTAGAGAAAGGGAATAGTGAAATTATTTATTTTATAGGGCTGTATTTAAGAGTAAATGATTGAACTCCAGATGTGGTGGTGCACACCTTTAGTCCCAGAACTTGGGAGGCAGAGGCAGGTGGATATCTGTGAGATCGCGGTCAGCCTGGTCTATATAGCAAGTGTCAGGACAGCTGGGGCAACAGGGAGACCCTGTCTCAAAAAGACCAGAAAAAAAAAAAGATTGAAATCTGGACATGGTGACATACTCCTATAATCCCAGGACTCGGGAGATAGAGGCCAGCCTGGGCCTCTATAGTGACATAGAAGTAGCAAGCTGACCTCAAGGACGTGTTAAGAAACACTCATTATTCCTAAGCTTTCACTTGACTCTGTCCAGTGCATGGAGCTGAGATGCCAGTGGCAATGCCCATTTTGCAGAGGCCCTTGTGGCAGAGCAGCTCAGTCTACTTGGCCCCTAAGAGTCATTCTCACAAGAGTGCCGGTTCTACAAAGGGGGGAGGTAGCCTGTATTCATCACACAGAAGACTCAGTTGTTGGCCAGATGTGGTGTCATACCTCTATTTCCAGCCCTTAAAGATGAAGGCAGGAGATTGTGAGTTCCAGGCCAGCTTGAGCTGTATAGCAAGACTGTCTCAGAAAACCAGGGGCTGGGGGTATGGTTGAGTGCTAGGGCACTTGCCTAGTATGTGCAGGGTTCTAAGTTTGATACCCAAACTGGAAAAAAAAAGGAAAAAATACATATGCATATATGTTTATGTATTCAACAACAAATTTGTTGGCCAACTGACTGACCTACAGGAAGAAATGAAACACTGAAGTGCTAATCACCACACCAAAAAGTGAACCTCAGTGTCCTTGGTAGTTGTTTCTTCTTTTTAATCTTTGTGTGTGCGTGCATGTCCATGTTTGTGAGTGCGGGGGTGCACGTGGAGGTCAGGGGACAGCTTCAGGTTTTGATCTTTGCCTTCTACCTCAAGACAATGTCTCTTGCTGTTCACCACTGCAGTCACTGGGCTAGCCAATTTGTGGCCTCTGGGAAGTCTCCTGTCTCCATCCCATCTTGGAGCTCTGGGATACAGACGTGCTACTGCATCTGGCTTTCATGTGGGTGCTAAGGATCTGAACTCAGGCCCTGACACTTGGGTACCAAGTGCTTTACCCACCCAACCATCTCCCTAGCCCAGTAGTTATTTCTTTGAAGGTACACTGTATGGCAGGCACTGTTGTCTACATGAGATTAGATGGGGTCTGGCTGTTAGGCTCAGGCTCAGTTTTGTCTAGACGTAAAGTAGGTGTAGAAGTCCCGTTCCCCCTAGAGTTGTGGTTTCATATCTTGCAAACTGTAATATGTGATAATCCTGCCTGGGGACTCATGAGAAATCCAGGGATGACTTCAGGCATGGCTGGATCCAGGGACTCATGTGATCTCTCTCTCTCTCTCTCTCTCTCTCTCTCTCTCTCTCTCTCTCCTCTCTCTGTATTGTTTCTTTGGAATTTACTTCATCCTTAAGCTTGCTTGCTCCTTGTGGCCATTCTAGACATAATCTATCATCTTCACAGAAATAAAAAAAAAATTCAAAGAAGGAAAAACTCCCTAATCTGGCTTCATCCTGTACTTGTTGTGACGGCTATCAGGTGGAGGCATGTGCTTCTTTTGCTGCCGCCATGCTGAATTACCTGTCTACCGTCGACATACCTAAAACACACTTGTTTCTTTAAAGAGCTGGAGAGTAAATATTTTAGCCTCCAAGACCTATAACTCCAGTTGCAACCAGTCACCCCTGACATGTGACAGCTACCATAGACCACTGGGAAGGGAAGGGAGTGTGGCTATGTCAGGGACCCAGGTAGTGGGTACAGCTCTTTAGTTTACAGACCACTGAGCAGAGAGGAGGACCCGAGTCCAAGCAGGGGAAGCCCCCAAAATGGATGCTGTACCGAGGAAGAGTTGGGGAGTTATGGAAAAGGAACCTCAAGATCAGCTAGTGTGGAATCTTGAGAGCCACATTAAAGACTTTCTTCTGTACCCCAGGGAAGCTGCCATATCCTGGCCTTGCAAATTCTAGCCAGGTACCTGCTTGCCCCCAGGCACCAGAAATTGGCTGTTCAGCCTCATTGTAACAGGGTTGGAGGACAGCTTTGTCTGTCCTTGAATACTGATCCTTCTTGCAAACAGAATTCTTTTGGGGAACAGGGGTTTCAGCCCCTATGAACAGACAGAGAGTGGATTGGAACATTCCTTCCAGAGCCAGCGTGCTTCCCAACTCCAAACGATGCCACTCACATGCTAGCCATTATGCATGGCACCACGTGAAGGTGGAGTCTGCCATGTGAGCAGCTGTACATGGCCTTCCTGCTTCCTGGGATGAGCCAGGGCTCCCCTGGACCCTGAGTAACACTTCATTCTGTTTTGACATCTGACATAATGCAAAATGGTAAGAGAAATCTGTACAGAGGAGGCGGGTTCAGTCATTCAGAAGGTGGATCTGCAGCTTGCATTTTCCACAGATTTATTTACCAAGTGGGCAGTTGCATGTCATCAAACAGACAGGAAATAGAGATGACAAGTGCTCGGGCTTTGCAGTGCTGTTCCTACAGTGACATCTGGGGCCCATCTCCATATAGTGACCTGTAGTGGGTGAACTGGCCTTTGTGTGTTCTGTGTGAGATTTCTGGGAACACAGCACTCACTGTCATGTGTGTTCATCTCATAGGAGCTGGTGACAGCCTGGATGGTTGTGCTGTCCACCTGACTCTGTTGGAGCAGTGCCAGAAGGATCCTTATGGGAGGGTGAATGGAAGTCAAGTTGTGTGACTAACAAGCATGTATTGAGTACCTGCCTTATGCATGGCTCTCATAGGCTGCACAGGGAATGCCCAACTGTGTCAGGGAGCATGTTTATGTGGAGCATTACTGGGAACCCCTGGGAGGGTACCACCATTCATCAGCTGTCCAACTCAGGTTTCTGTTTCCCATCTGCAAGGGAGGGAGTTCATGGCAACAAACTCCAGGATGTTTGAGAGTAGCATGAGATGGTACTTATGGGACACTGACACAGTGCCTGGCATACTGTAGGTGCCCAGCCCTGGTTCCTTTGACTAATGAGTACAGATCCCATCATTTAAATGTGCAGTACACCATGAGAGGGCCCATGAGATGCGCACTCAGATAATTATGACACAGCATGGATTGGATGAGAACCATAGGCAGAGCTCTCATTTAATTCATCCATTGGGAAGGGAAATGGGATACACCTCCGTGTCGCTGTCCCCAGTTCATGGTCAGATGGGGAAGATAAGCCAGTGAGCTGCCAGGGAAGGTGAATGTGGGGTACTGAGGGGAAGAAAGAAAGGCACTGGGGATTGGATAGGAGAAGGTCATGGGGATGGGGATTGTGGTCTTTGGAGGAGAAACTGTTAAAGCAGAGATTTGAATGGTAACAAGAACTGGACAGGAAAGCACTTTGGACAGAGGGATAGTGAGGCTCTGAGTGTCCAAGGGAATGCAGAGGTGGGGCAGCCCCTGCATTCACAGGCGATTGTGTCTGAGTGGCTCCAGAGAGCACTGAGATTGAAGCTGGCTTGAAGATATGTGGGTCTCATAGGAAGAGGTAACTGTCATGGTGAAGCTTGGAAACTGGGAGGCTGGGCTGCACAGGTGGGCAACTTCACAACTCCCAAGTAGTACCAGGAACCGTGGCATTTTGGTCCAGAGGTTGCTGCTTTGCTTTAAGGGAAAGAGACTGATTGCTTCTTGATCCCATCCTCTGGCCCTCCAGTGTTCCTACCCAGCACGTTTCAGCTGCTGTCCACACTTCACACAGACTGTGAGCAGCCAGCAGGACCCCCACTTCCAGCATGGTCTTGTCTCTGTTGCTTTGGGAGCATACCAGATCAGCCTCACCTCATGCATCAGGTACCTCTGAAGACCTCCTAGAACTCAAAGCTTGTATTTTTTTCAAGACATGTTTCCCTGTAGGCTTAAATGTGGAGTTGAGGGGATGCAGTTGGGATGACTTCAATCAGTGTGCATTACACACATCTCCAACACCCACATGTCTTCACAGACTTCATCCTCTGCATCTCACCGCCCTAGTACCCCTACCCAGCTTGAGCATGGGTGAACCTTGTTTTGTTTGCTTGTGTGATCTTGCTCACTAGCTCAGGCCGGCCTCGAACTCAGGATGACTTCTGCCTCAGCCTCCCAAGTGCTAGGATTGCAGATACACACCATGACATCCACCTAGGGGGGATCTTAAAGCCACTTAACATCTTCTAAATGTACCAAGTATACTGCTACACTGTGCCAAGCACTGTTCTATCATTTAATATGTGTTAACCCATTCTGAGAGTTCAGCAGCCATAGAAGGTGGCGCTGTGACTGTTTCCACTTTCTAGATGGGGAAATGGAAACACAGAGGAAGGAACTCACCCAGTCACCCAGCCAGGGTTTCAACTGAACCTCATTCATCATCTGTCTGTCCTGTTGAACCTCATTTATCATCTGTCTGTCCAGGTTTATCTATGCATCTATGTATCTGCGTATGTATGTATCTATCATCTGTCCATCATCAGTTGTCCATCTATCACCTCCTTTGCCATCTGTCCCTGTGTTCTGCCCACCCCTCCTTCAGTCTCTTAGCGTTTATCATCTTCATTAGCATCATGCTGAGTCATAGCTGCTGCTAATTCATAGCTGTTTCTCCACCTTGAACTTCTGTTCTCAAGTCATTGATTCACAGGGCCATTTTGTAGCCATCCGCCTGCCACTCAAAGAACCCCTGAGTGACATTAGGATGGGATTTTTAAAAGGATGTTAAATTAGAGGTATGGCAGCTATTGAAACAGCAGGATATATATTCTCAAGAGCTACTTGCAGAAACTCAGATGCATCTGAACAGCCACAAGTATCCTCCCAGACCCAAGATTGACAGGCCTCCAGCTTCCGTCAGCCACAGTGGCACACCCCTGTGACAGCAGTCTACATTTACACAATGCCCAACTCCAGCTTTGAAACGTGTTCTATATTGGGGAAGATACCTTCCTATCATTTCACAGGTTTTCAAAAAGCAAGACTATGGTAGCCTGTATTTTCACCATTCTAAGTGGCACGCAGTGGGTCTGAGGCCTCAGGATGGAGTCCCGTGCCCAGTCACAGACCAACTGCTCCTGGCCTGGGAAAGCTGGAGGTAGCTGATGAACTGGGGTGGGGGTGGCGCACAGAGAATGGGTGGGAGGTTCAGAAGGCTCCTGGGGGTGCCTCAGCGGCCACTGAGAGCCCTTCCTCTCCTCCAGGATAGCCAGCCGGAGCAGTGACAAGGATGGTGACTCTGTTCACACGGCCAGTGATGTCCCATTGACCCCGAGGACCAATTCCCCAGATGGGAGACGCTCATCCTCAGACACATCCAAATCCACGTACAGCCTGACACGGAGGATCTCTAGTAAGTGCCTCGGGAACAGTGAGGGGCTCTGGCTGGCTGCCCTAGACTTGGCAGCATCCCCAGGAAAGACTGGAAGGGCAGCATGTGCTGGGGTGGGGGCAGCCCAGGAGATGGTGACAGATGATGAGAGTGTGCCGTGTCACACCTTTCTGATTTCTGTCAAAAGTGATAGTTTTGGTTGACGTGTGTGTGCCGTGTGTGTGTGTGTGTGTGTGTGTGTGTATGTATGTGCATGTGCGCAGGCAGGTATGTGACACAGTGTGCATGTAGTTTTGTTCAAGGCTGCAAGCCTCTGGGAATTATGTCTCCATTTGCATCTCCCTGCAGGAATGCTGGGATTACAGACATGCACTGCTGTGTCTAGATTTTTTTTTAACATGGGTTCTCTGGGGATTTGAACTCAGGTCCTCATGTTTTCATGGCAAGTGTTTTACCCACTGAGACATCTCCTTAGTTCTCTTTTTT